CACACATAAGAAATAATATATATAAAATATATATAATATATATAATATATATATTATATATATTTTATATATAATATATATAAAATTTTAAGTCTTTTAAGAAAAGATAAAGTACAGAGTTCAAAGCCCCATTCTATATTTTACTATGTGTTTTCCCCTCAGATTCTTTGTTCACAGAATAGACATAAGGTGCCCTGTAGTGGAACAAAGCATATCCATCTTTGGACTAAGGAGAAGTTCTGGTCGTGAGCTCAGCTCTAGAGGGCAATGGAATCTTCAAGGCCAATGGATATAGAGCTTGCCAAGCCCCTAACATTTTTTTCCAGGGGCTCAGGGCCTTGGCATTCTCTGAGCCCAGTTATAAGACAGACCATGGCTTCCTTCCTGGATCTCACAGCAGACACATGACTGACCAGCCCAGCCTACCAGAGGGCAGCCATGGAGCAGCTGCTTGCAAGGCTGGAGTGAATGGTGTGGGCTGGACATCAACACAGATGAAAGTAGAGGGCTGCCCACATTGCCATCTACCAACTCACTACTCCGGTATGTCAACAAATTCTAGACTAGACACTTGCCCTCTAGAGTTATCGTAACAGTCAGGGAGAGGACAGAGTGTGCTTCACCTGACAGTTAGCTTGATTCATAGCCTGTGTGGACATTTAGTACCTGCCAGGCTTGCATTTATATGGGTAAGACTGGCTTTGAAGTCATAAAACAGGGAATGCAAAGCAAGCAGGTGTGTTCCTGACACATAGTAGGTACTCAGAAGAGCTGCTGTTATTAACAGCACAAGGGTTGGATTCTCCTACTCTACCCAGCTCAGGGTGTCACATTATTCCCGATGGGGGTCCAACCTACCTTTTAAAGGTGATGTTAACTGTTTACATGTATGGGGTTTGGTGTGATACCCAGGGGTGTGTGCAGCATGCACTGATATAATCAAAAGAGTTAATGTTCTCACCTACCTTTTCCCCTGGGGTGACAGAGATCCTCCAAACACAGTGGGAATAGGAGGGGTAGCCATTTGGGAAACCAGGTGCCGAAAAGTTTCCTGTTGTGTCCTGTAGTGTCTCCCCACACGCTGCACAAGCAAAATGACAACTCTGATGCAGGCACACAAGGTGCATACAGGAAGCTCCCACCCAAGTTACCCTGCCCAGGCCTGTGGCGTGAAAGCCTTTCCCAAGCCAAAGCCCTGTGGATGACTGATGGGAAGTGAGCCATTTTTCCGGCCAGGGCAAGCAAAAGTAGCATCTTGGTGCCGAGGCGTAGCGCCCAGAGCTCCTGCCAAAGGCTCTCAGGACTCCATGTGGCTTGATCTGGGTTCAGATCTCAGTTCTCCAGCCATGAACTGAACCAGCTCAGGGGCCAGCGAGATCACCTGCATTACAATGAATGGGTCCACTCAGGGTTTGGCACCCACAGAGTGTTTCAGGGATTGTAGAATTGATTTGCTGATTGGTTATGAAAGAGGTTGAGTCCAGAGCCTTGGGCATGCTAGACAAATGCGCTAACGCTGAGCTACACGCATCAAGTCACACTGGAGCCTTCGTAACTGCTAACAACAGCAACCATAGCAGGGAGAACACAGACGTATAAGCCAGGAAAGCCACAAGAAAATGTGCTTTGACACTCATTTATGTTTTTAGCTTGATCTTGCCTCCTTCCCAGTTCTTTTCCTTTTGCTGTTCACCTCTCAGAGAACTATCAAACAAACAAGAAAGCAGAGAAAGATGAAGCAGGTATAGGTAGCTACACTAGCATGGTCTCTAGCAGTGTGCTCTCGGGCCCTTTCTGTCTCTGAAGGTTGCCCAGTAATGAATGGGTCTGAACCACAGAACCTGCATGGGAAAAAAAATTACTTCTAGTTTGTCCTTAAAAGAAATGCAGAAGGGGGATTCATGTAGCTTAGAAGCAAAAAAATTTGTATTTCCCAAATCGTGGAGACAGACACCCCAAAAATACAAAGCCAATGGCTTGCTGAGTGACTCCCACCATGGGGCTTCCCACTGAGTGCAGGAAACGGGCATCTTTAAACATCTCTTCCCTCTCTTGATGCTATCTCTGCGTGACCATTGCCCTAGCTTGCAGGGACCCCTTGAAGCATCCTCTGCTGCTTTTGGAGCTACAGAAAAAGGCATGCGGAGGGCTGCCCATCATTTGCCTCAGGAAATCCTGGCTATAGGGGCCTCAGTGTCACGTTACAGAACAACTGCCAGGCACAGAGAGGCTCACTCCCAGCAGTCAACACCCCCGAGGGTTCCATGGAAATTATTTTAGGATAGTCATCAGCATTCTGCAGGAATAGATACATTACTGTGTGCTCCAGGATATTTACCAGCTGCCTGGGAGCCTTCGGGGAAATAAGTAGCTTATACAGTGTAACTAAATAAATACTATGGCATTTCCCAGGGAATGTTCTAAGGTTTCCCTTTGAATTTAGAGGGTTATATGATATGTGTGTCCTGCCTTTTGGCCCCAGCATGCCCCCAGATGATTGAGAGATGGCTGAACATATTTCCTCATTTCGTGAGGATGCAGCCTACACAGCATTCTGAAGTCCCCGTGGTCCTGAATTGCAGGGCAATGTCACAGCCCAGATTTTCTCCAGTGGCCCCAGTTTCAAATATTCTACCACAAATCTTCTCTGAAGGGTATGGAAAAAGCTACTGGAGCTATTGGTGATGGAACTTCCTTCTGTCTTCCCTAGTCCCTTAAAGTCCATTCTGCCCTATCAGTGGCACAAACTTTGGCTGCTACAATTGATAACTATGCAAGGATTTAAAAGTGCCTTGGGGCATTGATCCCAAGATGATGTGGAACAAGAACCCAAGCAGGCTAGTTTTAATTGTCAACTTGATACAAGATAGAACCCCTGGGAAGAGAGTGCTAATGAGGAATTATCTAGACCAGTTGGCCTGTGGGCATGTCTATGGGAGATTGTCTTGGTTGTAATTTGATGTAGGAAGACCCAGCCTAATGTAGGTGGTACCATTCCCTACGCAGGTGGTCCCAAGCTATATGATGCAGGAGAAAGGTACATGACTCAGCAAACAAGGAAGGATCCACGCATTTCTTCTCTCTCTGCTCATGACCGTGAGCATCTAAGTTCCTGCCTTGGCTTCCCCACCATAATAGATTGTAACTTCAAACTCTAAGTCAAAAAAAGCCCTTCATCTCCCGTGCTGCTTTTTGTCAGGGTATTTTTATCATAGCAAGAGAAACGAAACCAGAACAGAGATGAAGGCACAGAGGGTTCATCTGAGGGACCCCTGCCCTAGCTCAGAACAAGCCTTTGCTCCACCCCTAAGATACTCTTTGGTCTTTAATAGCATGTACCTGGTAACTAATCCCGAGACACAGCACAGAGACTTGTTCTGACTGTAGCTTTAGGGAACTGGACCCCTACCATCCCCAAAGCATTCCCTTTGATCTTTGTCTTCCTGTCAAAAGCTCTTGGTTCTTCCTTTGCTATATTAACATTCCCCAGTTCCCTAGAAAGAAGATGGGCTCTCAGAGCAGCATGTCACATTGTGCTGGTTCCGCATGCTCTCTTCTCTCTTCACTCAGTGTTTTATCAAGAACTTCAAAAGCCTCCCATAGTCAGGCTATGGGCTCTGAGCCTGCTACACGCCTCTCTCAGCTTTCTGTGCTGCACTGCACACTTCCTAACAAAGACACAAGAAACCACAGCTGCCAAGGAGTGGTCCTTTCAGTTCCCAGCAAGGGGATGGTGTTGCTTGCACACAGCATGCGTTGTGTAGCATAGGATGCTAGGAGTTGCTGGGAGTCCCCGTGGCTCACAGTTACCTGGGCATTTGTACAGCTTCCTGGCTTGAGCTATATCTCCCTGACTGAGCCGCACGCGTTGGCCAATGGTTGGCCTGACGCCATTGTCGTCACGACGGGGGAGGATGGTGTCTAAGAAAACTCCTCTACAGGAAGAAAAAAAAAGAGGGGGGGGGAGAAAAGTCAAGGCTGCCAAGCTCTGTGTGAGGAGACTCCCAGTCTTTGCTTCTTTCCTGGTAACCCATCAGCACCCCTGTCCCCATTGCTTGCCACCCCTGCCCCTTGCTGCATGACTGAGTGGTTTCTTTCACTCAGGACACCTTTCGGTATTCCATCTCATCTGATCTGCCTGCTCATTTCCCAATGGGAAGGCAACTGCCAAGTTGAAATATATACCCTAGTCCAGTAGTGGGAAGCCTGCCTTGCTTATGTGTACTGAGTACTTCCATGAAGCTCTTAACAGGTCCTTGCCTGGGGACCGTCATGTTGCATGAACCAGAGACCACCATTTGGAGATCATAGTGTGAGTGGCGCCCCATGGAGTTGTGCACTAGGCAGCACTTTGTGTAGATAGGTCTTGGAGCTTCTTCAGGAAGAGCCTGAGAACTGGTCCAGCAGCTAGATCACAGGCAAAGGCGGATGAGCTGATCAATCAGACTTTGAGTGCTTTTGCTGGATCAGATGGACCGTGAACTAAATCAAGAGCACTAGGGGTCAGCAAAAGATGCCAAGCTGCATGTGCCTCTCCCAGGCCTGCTTTTGCCACGTGGATTAACTTGACAAGCCCCTTCTTCTCTGAACCTTTCTGAGCCTCACTTTATGACTCTGTACAATAAGAGTTTGTCTAGTTGGTTATAATGGCTCCTCCTAGCCCTAACATCTTACTCTAAACTTGTGTGACTAAGATCTAAAATTTGAGGGGCATTTCTAAAACACAAGAGGACCCTCAGATGCCTGGCTGAGCCCTGGATTACTCACAACTCTGTGCAGAGTGCGAGACCCCTCCTCTGCCTGTAGACTCTCTATTTGGGCCTGTCCTACAAGGTGTCCCTTCTCCAAGTCTCATCTGTTCCCTTCTTAACCAACTTTCTGAAAAGAGTTGTCTCTGTCCCTTTTTGATGCTCAGCTTTTGTTCACTCTTCACTCTGATTGAGACCTAAGCTAATCAGATCAGCAATGCTCAGGGGTCTTCTCGTTGTCATCAGCCTCTCTTACATCTCTGGAAGCTGTCAGCTTCTCTTTCCTCACCGTCCTCCCAGGGTTCACAGGCTTTGCTGCATGAACTGGGAGAGAGAGACATAGAGAGCAACCACATCTACTCCCTGCTTGGACGAAGCCCCTGCCTCTGCTCTCTTTCCATGGTATACCACAGAGTTTTAACTACTCACAGAGAACTGTTTCCTGTTCAGAATCATGTAGTAGACTCTCCAATACCTGGCACCACCTCCCTGAGCTGTGTCAGGGGCCTAGACCCATCCCTAACTTTGGCTAGAAACTGAACTCATCCTACCCTTAGATTTGTCTCCTGACATTTGTCTCTGAAGACGAGTCAGAAAGTGCTCTCAGCTCCTTCCTGTTCCTCACTCTCTTCTTACTGAGAGGAAATCAATGACCAAGTTCTGTCCCATGTACCTTGCAGGCATCCCTTAACCTCATACCCTTCTCCTGGGTGCCAGACAACTGCCTGAGTTCACATGCTCAGTGTCTCCTCCTAAATTTTCTCCAGAAACTTCCTGACTGTGTCCCCTTCTGTGGGCTCAGCCTCTTTTGTTTGGGTCATACAGTGTTGCAACATGTGCACCTCAGCAGGCAGGTATGTGTGTGCTTTGCAACTTCCTGTCACTTGACTGCCTGGGCCCTTGGTTCATGGCTTCTGACCTCCTCTCCAGTCATACCTTGTGCTATCTCCTTCGAGAGCCCAAATAAATTCCTGCATACACTGTCCTCTCCCTAGGATACCCACTCCCTACCGTCACCCCCTTGTCTCGCCTACCCACAGACTCCTATTCATTCTCTAGATCTCCATCAGTTCTGTTCCCCTCTTAAAAGCCTTGTAGGACCCTTTCTACCCCTCCCATCTGATGCTGCCATATTCTCTTGACTAATTTTCTGTCATTCTATTTTTTTTTTAATATGTGATGATATTTTCTCCTCTGTCAAAAGTAAATTTCTCAAGACTAGGTTTCTCTTTTCTATCCTTAGGGACTAGGGGGAGTGGGAGAACACAAACCCTGCCTACTTCTTTAATTAAATTACGAAGCCACAATCAGGAACTATCTTCAAAGAACTTTACAAAATAGTTATTTACATGCAACAGAATCAGTTAAAACATACACAGCCTAGTTATTAACTACTCTCTCTCTCTCTGTCTCTCTGTCTCTCTCTCTTTCTTTCTCTCTCTCTCTCTTTCTCTCTCTCTCCAGCTCTGTGCTTTCTTAAATTCTCTGCCACACTGGATAACACACATCTCCGTTTCTTTCTGCTTACATCACCTTGTTATCTTTTTTGGCTGTGAAAGGATTGTTTTTCTCAGTCAGACTCTCAGCATACTTTTTCTCCAAGAAGCAGAGTTGGGTCTCCTTTGCCCAGCATTTAACCTTCTGTCCTGACTTCCTTTGAGTCTCATGCCCTCATTTTCCAGAGTCCCCCAAGACACTTCAGTGGCCCCTGTTCTCCCATCCTGACATCAGGTTTCAAACCCAAAAGCATGACCCCTAAGACAACTAAAATTCTAAATTCAGCTCCCTTGCTATTCAACAGAGACACTTCTGCCCTAACAAAAGGCATGGCATCTTATGACAGCTTCCTTGAAAGAGAAAGTTTACAATCAAATATCATCATGTTGTGGAAGGAGTGACCTGGGCTTAGAAGATGACTGGTAAAGCCACCAGTGAGCCTGCCATGTCCAGACCATGTTCCCTTCTCCACTATTCTTAGGGCCTCTCGACGTGCCTTCCTGTCCTTTCCTCTTCAGAGGACCCTGGGAGGCAGGCCTATTGTAACTAGGCTTCCAAGAGACTTGGTGTTGGAACACAGCTAAAAATGGGGAGCCAGCCCCAGCACCTACACAGGCCTGGAACCTTCTGCCAGATTTTATCTTTCTGCCTACTGTGCATGGAAGTCTTTTGCTCCTTGAGCACAATAGGTGATGGTCTGAGTGCCGGGGTGGGGGGGGAGCGAGGTGTTTGAGACAAAAGTCGCAGGCTGGACACTGCCTCACGGCCTGTCTTTAACACTAGGACATCAATGCAATTCTCTGAGTTGCTGACAGACAGCTGGATTCTGGAGAATGCCCACTCTCAGAGCCATCCTGTATGTAGTTCTAGAACACCGCACCTTTCCCCTTTCTGGATAGACAGTGCCAAGCACTGACTTCTGGCTAAACAGGGAAGGTTTGGCAGATGCTTTAGAGGATAAAAATGCCAGCTCTGAGTTTTCCAAACAAAGACATCCCTGTACCAGAAAACTGTCTCCTCATCTCCTGGACCTGTGTCCAGCAAAACTTCTAAGAACATCATTCCCCACTGCCTGGGCCCAACCAAAGGGGAAAGGAAAAGGGGAAAGGAAAGGAAAAGTAAAACCAGAGGGGAGAGCCTGAAAGGAGAGGGTTCAGGTCGCAAAGAGACTCAGAGACTCAGAGACCGAGTTTCCCATCAGCAGGAAGGGCTTTGTCCCACAGGCCTGTGCTCTGCAGGCGATCCACTGCTCCTTCACAAGCTAAAAGGCAAGGTACAGTGAGGCCCCAGGAAAGAAGCGACCCAGAGGAATGAGTTGCAATTAGAAGGGGAGAAGCATCTAACAAAACACCCACAAAGCCCCAGTAAGAGCCTGTTGTACAAAACAACCTTCTAAAACCTCATACAGAAAACCATCACAAACACCAATACAGGCATTCACCTGTAGCAAAACATATTTGTGGAGGATAGAATTCCAAACTCTAGAGCAAGAGCTGATAAGAGAGCCGGGGGAGATGGTTGAGATAACATACCCCACCATCTTGATAGTGATGTGCCTTGGAAAGAGTGTTGCCATTTCTCTCATTCAGAGGCAGAGTGTATTTCTTCTTGTCCCTGATTCTAGCCTTCTGGGTTGCTCTGACCAATAGAATGTGGCAGAAGTGATGATGTGCAGGTTCTAGAGCCTGGCCACTGAGAGGCTCGCACCTACTTAGGCTGCCTTCTAACAGCCCTGAGTCCTTAAGCAGAGAAGGGCCTGGCCAAATCCACAGAAGGGTAAAGGGTCATGGGAAGGAGGACATGGGCTATGGCCAGCTGATACTGAGTACTGGATGTGTGCATGGCCATTTTAGACCCCCAGCCCAATCAAGCTCTGGGCAAGACTAGACCAAAGAAGAAAGAGCTGGGCAGACCCAGAGTATCAGAACAACAACAGTAACTTGTGGCTTAAGACACTAAGTCTGGTGAGGAAACTGCACAGCAATGGGTGATGTAGCAGTAGCAGAAGCCTGCCTGGGGCCATGGCCCTGCACCCATTGCCCATCACACCCTAGAGCTGTCTCTTGCCAATCTCCCTCCTAGGGATTCCAGGCATTTTGGATGAGGTGTGATTACTTCATGGGTTTGGCCCAAGGGTTTCCTCTGGTCTGTGTTGATAAGCTAGTTCATGCTGACTTTGGAGTTCATCAAGGTTTCCTCCTGAGGGGCAGAAGCGATCCGATTATGAGCTGGAGATCACAGGAGAGGAAACAATATTTAGGAAAAGAAGAAGAAAGTTAGGCAAAGTAGAATGAGCCTCTGCTTGGCCTCAGGCCCCAGAACTTAGCGCAGTGGGTGGCAGGGAGCAAGTGAGAGGAAGGTAGCTTCGTTCCTATAGCCCTGCATTCTCTACACAGCAGAGGCTTACAGCTTCCACTCTGGAGAGGCACAACCACCATGAGGATGTGCAAAGACTCAGAAAGAATAACAGACAAGACTTTCCTCACCCATTCCTCTGCGATGTAGCTCTCTAGGCCTCTTTGACTTCACACATTCACTTTAAAAAGTAACAAAAATCTACTAGGAACCTAGTTGGGACCCCACCGGATGCTAGGGAATCAAAGACAATGAGATAGTGTCTTTGTCCAAAAATCTCAGTCTACTGAGGGAGGGAGGAATGTCGCAGATAAATAGAGATAGCTCAGCCACTGAAGACTAGGCTCACGACCAAAAATTATAAAGTGCTGGGTATGAAGAGCTACAGAAGTTACAGAAATAAGATCCAAGGCACTAGCTTCTCAGTTGGGCCAACGTGACATTGTATCCTTGACAATTGGTATTATCTCTATATACCAGCCCATAGCCTCTGACTGACAGGTGGTGCCAGGTTATTCCTTGCATGTTTTCCAAGTTGAGTCTCAGTCTAATCCCAACACTTACATTCCCACCCACCTCTCTTATCCCTGGTTAGGTTTCAACCTACCCACTCCACTGGCTTCCTGGGACTTCCTCCATGTTCTAGTTAGCTTCACCTATCAGCTTGACATAGAGTAGAGTCACCTGAGAGAACTGCCTAGATCAAATTGGTCAATGGGCCCCCTGTGGGAGCCATGTTGATCGTTAATTGATGTAGGTAGACACAGTCCACTGTGGGTGGCACTATTCTCTGGGAAGGTGATTCTAGGTTGTTATAAGAAAACCGGCTCTGGGGCTAGAGATATGGCTCAGTAGGTAAGAGAACTTGTTGCTCTCACAGAGGACCCAGGTTCAGTTTCCAGGACCCACATGGCAGCTCACAACAGTCTATAACTCTAATTTCAGGAGATCCAATGTGCTGTCTCTGAGGGCATGAGGTACGGATGAGATAACACTTACATACATGCAGGCAAAACACATATGAAATAGAAGTACATAATCAAGAGAGAAGGAAAGAGAGACCGAGACACACTAATTATGAGCCTGTTGAGTGAGCCAGAAAGCAATATTCCACTATGGCAGTGGTTCTCAGCCTGTGGGTTCATAACCCACCTATCAGGTACCCTGCATTTCAGGCATTTACATTACAAATCATAACAGTAGCAAATTTACAGTTACGAAGCAACAACAAAATAATGTTATGGTTAGGGGTCACTATAACATGAGGAACTGTACTAAAGGATGACAGCATTAGGAAGGTTGAGATCCACTGCTCTATGGTTTCTGCTTCAAGTTTCTAGCCTTACTTTCTTCAATAATACACTATGACCTGGAAGTATAAGATGAAATAAATTATTTTCTCTAAGTTGCTTTGGTCATAGTATCTTACTACAGCAACAAAAATGGAAACTAGGATACCTCCCAACCCCAGAATGGACCCCTCGAGGTCTAGTCTACCTGTCCAGAAGAGGAAGCCATTTCACTTCAGATCTCCTGTGTGGCAATGCCCAGAATCACACATCCACCCTTCACTCACCTATACTAGTCTCAGAGACTGCTACACATAAGGTGGACCTGGAAGGGGCTCCGAGAGCAGCTGCTCCAACTGTCTCCAGGAGACTCAGAAACTGATTTGAGCAACACTCTCTGGTGAGAGGGCTGGGACCCCTACTTTGGTGCAGTAGGCAGGTCATGACTGGAGCAGATATGCAGCTAGAGAAACAGTGTCCCTGAGGAGCTTGGGATCTACCAGTTTGGCAGCCTCATAGGTAGGATGCCTTGCCCAAGAACCAAAGAGCTCTCTCTCAGTAATAGGTTTCCTATTCAGAGCCAACACAGCCAAGCCAGTGGCTCCCTTTAATCCTGACACACATGGAGACTCAGGATAATCTGTTTTCCTTTTTGCCTTGCCTACTAGGAAGCACATGCAGGATTTGTTGCTTGCTCTGACAGCCCTCCACATCCTGCTGATGTACATTCTGAACATTGACTTCCAGACTTCAACATGGTTGCCTGTTTCCCCACCTTACTCTTGTGTGTGCGTGCGTGCGTGCGTGCATGCATACATGAGTTGGCAATCACCTCAACGCTTTCTAGAGAAAGGATTAGATAAATGAACAGACTGTTGTAGGAGGACGCTTAATGACTTAAAAGGGAGAAATATTTGTTTCCTTTAAAGGCTAGGAAGATTACCAGTCGGGACTCATGTGGATGAGCTTCTGTGCACAGACACTTATGTGGACTAGAAGTAGGAGCAGTGTGTAGAACACAACATCTCCCTGAACAACTCCCAAGAGTACCTGAGGTAAACAGCAGGTCCAGCCCTTCTCTAGTGAGTTGCACTCATTCCCTGGGACCTGAAAGCAGGGAACCTGGGTCTTTGTTCTCACTCTGATCTGAGTACCTGAGCTCTCTTAAGTTGGCTGGAGCCTAGTTTTCTTTGTCTCTGAAAACCTGTGATTTACAGTCCCTGAAAACCTGTGGTTTACAGTCCTTCCATCTCTGACCAGCCTAAATTCCAAAAAACAGAACCTCTTCTAGGACAACGGCAAGTATCTCCTGATTTGTTTAGGATGTGCATTAGTCAGAGATGCCCCCACCCAATGGGAATTCTACAAAAAGCCTTTAGGTTATTCTCCCAGGTGACCTTTCCATACTTTCTCTTCTCCAGCTGCTCCTTGTAACATGAGGGCATGATGAAACGCCAGCTTCACAACAGGACTCAATCTCATTAGCAAGAACATGATTAGATTGTATTTCATGGCAGCCCAGAGGCCACTGTATTTCAAAGATGGACAGGCCAGCCATGGTAGGAGCATGCTCAGACCCACTCACTCTCCACAGACCTCAGAACTCCTACCCAAGCCTGGGGCAGGTGCAATAAAACCGATGTCCCAGCAAAGGTTCCGACCTTGAGAAGGTGTTCCGGGCATAGTGCATGATGCTGTCGAAGTCGTAGGTCTCTCCCAGAGAGCTCACCTCGCCAGCTTCCATTTTTAAGAAATTATACTCCTGACCTGTGACACAACACTCTGTTAAGGACTGTGGAAATAAGGCAGTACTCAAAGGGAAGCTGTGAGGAGGAGGGCCCAGGGTAACTTCCTACTGCTCCTGTTGCCTGAGCAGCAAGAGAACAGGACTTGTGGGGCTTCTGGTTATTGTTTGGAATAGAAAATTGAAACATAGGGCAAGCCCTATGTTCTCTCTACCCCACAGTTCAACACCCCTCTCCAAATGCCATTGGAACTTTCAACTATGCTTGCAGAAAGATTAGCACTCAAACTGCTTGTCCAAAATATTTGGTTAAAAAAAAATTCCCCCTTCATCCAGCAGCCAACGGAGAGATTCAGAGGCTCACACCCAAGCTCAGGGAGTTTTATGGAAGGGTTGGGAGAAAGACTGAGGGACCTGAAGAGGACAGGGACTTCACAGGAATACCAACAAAGTCAACTAACCAGGACCTTTGGGAGTTCCAAGAGACTGAATCACCAACCAAAGAGCAAGCTCGGGCTGGACCTAGGCCCCCTGCACATACGTAGCAGGGGAGCAGCTTGGTCTTCATACAGGTTCTCCAGAAACTGGAGTGGCAGCTGTCCCTGAGCCTGTTGCCTGCCTACCTATGGATCTCAAACCCCCAAATGGGCAGCCTTGTCTGGTGCCAGTGGGAAAGGGTGTGTGTGTGCCTAGACCCACAGCAACTTGATGTGCAGGACAAGGCAGGGGTTGATACCCAGCAGGGGGCTTCCCCTTCTTAAAAGAAAAGAGGAAGGTGGAATGAGGGAAAACTTGCAGGAGAGGTTTCTAGGAGGAAAGGAAGAGCTGATATTGAGTTGTAAAGTGAATAAATAAATAAATTTAGTTAAAATAAAAACAAACAAACAAACAAAGACCTTCCCCAAAATTCTGATCTTACCATGTGAAGAATCAAGAAAATAATTCAGAAAGTTAAATCCCAAGTGTTTTGTCCTCTGAAGCAAGTTTAAAGCAGTCTGTGGAGTTTGGTCTGGGATGTGCTCTCCTCATAAGCTCAATGACTTGAGTCCAATTCCCAGAACCCATGTTAAAAGCTGGCTCTTGGGACAGAGATGGGTGAGTCTCTAGGGCTTATTGGCAGCCATTCTAGCTGCCTTAGCAAGTTCAAGGTTAATGAGAAATTTTGTCTCAGAAAAAAATAATATGGAAAGGCCCTGAGGAACGACACCCAAGGTTGTTCTCTGGCCTCCACATGCCACAAACATGTAAACACACATGTACAAACACATACACAAAGCAGATTTTAAAAAGCCATACAACTTAGCTAGCTGCTTTCATGTTTAATATTGCCTTTTGGGTTGTAGATTTTTGTATTTTGTTTTGTTTTGTTTTGAGACAGGTCTCATTAGTTGACTGAGATAGATTTGAACAGCTACCGCTCCAGTTTCTGGGGAACCTGCATGAAGACCAAGCCGCTCATAGACCAAGCTCACTCATAGTCTAGGCTGGCCTCCAACTTGTGATCCTCCTGCCTCAACCTCCCTAGTGTGTGGCTTATAAACCAATACTACCTCACCAGGATCCAATATGAACTTTTACACCAAATTATTTGACATGAGAGGATGCATACATGTTTGATCTGTGCATGCTGTCTGCCTTCGGGCAGAATACTCTATGCAGAGATGTTGTTTCTATATGCATTTGTGTCTTAATCATGTTATGGTTCAAAAGACTGCATTGCATGGCAAAAGTGACTCATAAAAGCTGCCAGAATTCCTCTTTTAGCTGATCATCCCAGACACTGCCACTTAGGAACTGGGATTGGATTTCACTGCCCCTTACAACATGGAGGGAGAATCAGGGTTCCTATTCTATTGTAAGCCACACGCTTCAGCAGATGTATTTTCAGGAAGGCCACAGGTAGACAGTGGCAGACCTCATAGCAACAGCCTGTAAAGTGGGGTCGCTGACTCCGCTGCCAGCAATGAGCCTGAGAGGCTTCCAGAAGGCCCTCTTCTCAGCGTCCCAAAGACTGTGGATGTCCAACCTTGCTGGCTTCTAGATTCCACCCAAGATCCCTTACCTGGCTGGATGTTTTCTCTGATGATGGTGACATGCTGGTCTCTGTCTGGCCGAGTGTGTTCATGCCAGAACCCAACCACATGGCCCAGTTCGTGAGCCACAATGCCAAACTTGTCACAGTTTTTCCCGATGGATATAGCCTGTGGGCCACCTCCTCGGCGTCCCACGTAGGAACAACAACTAGATGATAGAAATATGCAGATTAGCAGGTCTGAGGATATCAAAATGAAGAGGCACACTCCATCCTCATTTTACCTTCCTACCCGTGGTATAAAGGTACATTTGAAAAAAGAAATGCATTTCAGAGGTGAGAGATTTCCACTGTTCAACTCCCCACAACGAGGCCACAATTCCCTCAAAATGCATCTCTGCCCTTTGGTGTTCACAGATCCCATTTAGAACCTAAAGGCAGAAATGGGCCTCCTACCTAGAATGAAGTGTGCCACACCCATCTCTCTTCTAAGTTTTGTGTCTGTGGGACCTTCTTTGAGGGGTAGGTGGCTGAGTTCTGCAATGGGTTCTGGCATGCCTCTGGATGACATTGTCAATGGCCTTCAGTGAGGGTCTATATTGGGTACAATTATTTTTGTTCAAGAAATGTTTATTCATTATTCCTAATACACAGGTAAACACTGGTTTTATGAGACTTTTATTATTTTTTGTTGAGTGGTGTGTGGTGTGTGCGTGTGCGTGTGCGTGTGCGTGTGTGTGTGTGTGTGAGAGAGAGAGAGAGAGAGAGAGAGAGAGAGAGAGAGAGAAAGGGGGAGGGAGAGAAAGAGAGAGCATATTAGTGCAAAGGTATGCACACCCTCGTATTTACCAAAGTATGAAGTGGGTTCTGGGAATTCAAGCTTAGAGCCTAAGGCTTCCAGAGCAAGCATCCTTATCCATTGAGGTATTTCTCTAGCCTGCTAGTATTGTTTAACTATGTAGCCAAGGTTAGATTAGAACTTATTATGTAGCTCAGGCTGACCTTAAAATTCTTGATAGCCCAGCCTTGACCTTGGAGTGCTAGGATTACAGGTGTACACCACTGCACCATGCTTATCAGAATAGTTTAATAAAGGTATAAAAAAGAAATCAAAGGTGTCGGAGAGATGGCTCAGTGGTTAGTAGAACTTGCTGCGCTTGCAGAGGAACTGGATTCAATTCCCTGCACCCACATGGCATCTCACAACTACCTGAAATGCCAGCTACCAGGAATCTGACGCTTTCTTCTGGCCTCCAAAGAGGTCTTTGTAAGGAACACATAGATGCACAGGCAAAACTATATACACATTAAGATAAATCATTTTTTTAAATTAAAACATCGAATGATCCCATCTGCCACATCATGTATTGAGCATGTAAGCATGCATGTCCGTCCATGTTGCAAAAAACAGAGCTCTCTCACCCCTGCTCCAATCCATATCTAAAGACAACAAAAAAGTAATAACATCTTCCCGTTCTAAAAACTTGTCGGACGATGTATGAAGAAGGAACGCATTTTGTGATCAGTCACCTTAGTAGTCGAGTCTCTTCAATTTTAAGTTTCTCACTTGACTTTCTGGGTTTTCCAGGCACATGGTCACGTTAACTCTCAATAATGCAACCTTGGCCTTCCTCGTTCCTGCCAATCTCCACTGTATTGATTTCACTTCCTGTCTAGGCATGTTAGCACTTCCGGAACAGTGTTAAATAATTGTGCAGGCCAGCCATCTCTTTGAATGGTTCCTGATTCTAAAGGAAACACTTCTAGGATCAGTGTGTTCTCATACATACATAAAACATACACATACAAATATAGAGAGTTATCTGTTTACATGGAAATTTGCACTTTTATAATTAGCATCTATTCCTGTGATCCCTTGGTTACTTTTTGAAACAGAAGTGCATGTTGGTCACCCAGATGCCTTCAGCATCTATGGAGGTATGCCCAGATCTTTCTGATCTGTCAGCTATGTGAGTAGACTTCCTGGATATAAACAGGTCTTGTGTTCTAGACAAACTGATCAGAAGGCTTCCTTCTGATCCCCTGCCGTAGTTCTAACATCTTAGGTGGGCTTTTGCATAGCTGTTCATGTGAGGTACAACTGTGCTTGTTAATTTCTTCACCCAGTATGGATGCTTTCAGGAAAGCAGGCAATTCCATGATGGTTCTCTTAAAAGTATTGGGAATGTTCTTTCTCTGACATGCTGCAATGTTTCAGTATCAAGAGTGTTGAAAGATCTAAACGAATTCCTCATGAGACTCTGTATTTGGGGCTTCAAGGGAAAGAATTTCTTCGTTCTGCTTATCCATTTCTTTAAAAGCTACTGTTCTGCCCAGCTGTATCACTCCGGAACATGTACCCAAAGAGTCCTGTATCCCACCACAGGCACGTTACAGTCTGTGTTTATCACTGCTTTCTGTGTTCATGATAGCAAGGATACAGAACCAGCCTAGGTGTCCTTCAACAGGTTAGTGGATAATGAAAAACTGGTGCACAAATACAATAGAATGTTATTCAACTGTGAAGAAAAGTAAAATAAGGAAAATGAATGGATCTAAGAGGTATAATATTAAGCACAGTAATCCAAACGCATTTTCTCCCTCACGTGCAGATCCTAGCTTATAATGTATGCATGCAAACAGGTAGATAAGAGTAAAATACAAAGTTAGAAAGGTAACTAAAAAAAATAATGTTAGGTGATAAGAAAGGATGGATCATTGGCAAAAAGGCACATGGGACATGAAAGAGGAAAGTGGTCGGAGGGGAGGAGCCTAGGAGGAAAGAACGGATGGAAGGAGATGGAGGAGAGGGAGGGAAGAGAACCACACAAATGTGCTGCTTTCTAACACAGTAAGTGCCGGGTATTGTGGTGCTCACGTTTTAATGAAAGCCTAGAGGCAGAGTCAGGGGAGGCCACATAGAGTTCTAGGTTAGCCAGAGCTATATGGTTAGACCCTCTCTCAAACAAAGAAAACCAAGTTATGAAGTGAAAATGTTTTGTTTCTTTGGAGACTCAATTGTATCATGTGATGTTTTTCTGGAAACTGTCTTAGGAGAGGTTGTTTTTGCTGAGGCTGATCCGTGGGAAGATGTTTTCCTGAGAACAGACACGTGGCGTTCTGCTGGAGTGAGCAGATGCTTGAGAGAACATGTGATGTTTGAAAAGGATATAGATAAAACCCAACAGGCATGGTGTGGCATTGGTTCTCCTTGCTTTCTTTGCTAATCTCTGTTTGTCGAGATTTCGTAGAGAGAAATGCACCAAAGATCTTCCGGTGGTGTTCCAGTGGCTTCTTGCAACTTCCTCAGACTTGGGCCGATTGGCAGAGACTCACAGTTTCTTCTAGATTGAACAGCTGTTGCTGATTTGTGAATGATGTTTGTGAGTGGATTGAGCTACCACCACTGATTCACGTAAACTGAACTTCTGATATCCTGACAACAAAGAGTGGAATTGCCCCTAAAGAACTACTTCTAAAGAGGTCCAAATCCCCCTTTGCCCTGTTAACCTTTTCTTACCACTACCTCTGGTGGGCAATGGGCTAGAAGGGAGTTTAAAGCATTTAAGAACTCTTATTAAAGTAGGTTGTGAAAAATCTAAGCCTACAAAGTTATTGGTCTGTGCCAATGCCACATAGTCACCTTGGAGTTACCCACATTTCCTACTCTCAGTGTTGCAAGAACTATTCACAATTCTGCTGCTGTTTCTCTGTCAGGTTCCGTTTTCTCTTCTAAGTTTGTGTGTTTCTGCACTGTTGCTTTTTCTTGCCTGAAGTAGTTATCTACTGTTTTTATTTGGTCAAAGAATTCACTCTTAGGTTTATTAGCCCTATAGTGTTTTGCTTTGTGTGTTTGCTTGTGTTCTTATTGGGCTAATTCTCTTGTGATGGTGTGAATGCACACACACATACACACACACACACACACACGAGGTGGGCAAGATTCTATGAATTAACAATGTCATCATCATTCTTAATTAGCAACGTGGTTTGTCTTGTGGACGTATCTTTAGCTTTATCTCTTTCCCTTTGAACTGTAGTGATTTCATTACTAGACATTATGCAGATCTTGATTACCTGATAAAGGCTATAGACAGAGTGGAGTTTTTAACAAAAGAGTAATGTTTACTCTTACTACCATGCCATTTCATTGCTTTCCTCTGTTTGTTTGTTTGTTTGTTTGTTTGTTTTTAAAAATATTTATCTATCCTATATGAGTACACTGTCACTGTCTTCAGAAGGCATTGGGGATCCCATTACAGATGGTTGTGAGCCACTACATGGTTGCTGGGAATTGAACTCAGGACCTCTGGACGAGCAGTCATTGTTCTTAACCACTGAGCCATCTCTCCAGCCCATCATTGCTTTTCAATATGATATTATTTTAATGCTATTTCTAACTTTTGCAACCTATTAAGATATTCTTCTTAAATTTTATTGTTTATTTTTCCTTTTAAAGCGTGTGTGTGTGTGTGTGTGTGTGTGTGTGTGTGTGTGCACGCATGCGCGCACACTCACAAGTTTGCAGGCATATGTGTCCCAGAACACATATGTCGGTGTCAGAGAGCAGCCTAGGGTGTTGGTCCTCACTTTCTACCTTGTTTGAGATGACACCTCCTGTTGTACTCTGTGGAGTTCATTGGACTACCTGGTCAGCGAGCTGAGGGTTCTTCAGTCTCTGACTCTCATCTCATTTCCCCTCAGAACGCTGTGATTAAAAGCATTCCCTGTTCTATCCAGCTTTAGGAGGGCTCTGGGAGTCTGAACTCAGGTCCTCCAACTGGTATAGGAATCATTTTATCCATAAAACCATCTCCCCAGGCTACTCAGCTATTCTTAGTGTTTAATGAATGAACATGTGTCTCAGCCTTCCTCGTGCATTTAAAGACATGTTATCAGGATATAAACTAACAGACCTGCAGAATCAACCTATTAACTGCATCTTCCAAATCCTCTACAAACCCCTAATTTACTTTTTGTCAACTTGATGCCAACCTATCTGGACTTACAGAAATAAAGCAAGTATCTCAGTGATTTTTTTTCATGCATTTCCCTCTTGGATTCACTAAGCTGTCTTATGATTCCTAATGCTCTGTATATGTCTGACATATACACAATAAATATGTATGCAGCCCGTCCCTCACCGTAGCTTATACCGTTTCTCATTATGAAGGGCCTATTTTTTCATCCTCTGACTTTACAAATGACAGTAGGGGTGTAGCTCACTTGCCTAATGTGTACAAGTCCTTGGTTTTGATGCCCAGCACTGCAAAATTAATTAGATAATTAATTACAAATCTTAAAATAAAACAGTAAAAGTCTTATTTGTGCATAAGCTTGTTATCTGGGCTTCCTTCTCTGCTCGCACTTGCTGCCAACTTATTTGCCGTTCCCTTCAAATTTCGGTCATTTCCTTAATAGTCATCTATGTGAAGAGCGTTTAGTTGGGATTGTTTTTAAAAAAATTCAATATTAGAAACCTGGGTAAGAGAGCATATCACATATATTTATCAGCATGACAGACATTTTCTGTGTGTTTGTGTGCATGTATGTGTATGTATGTGTGTATGTACATGCATGTGTGTGTATGTACATGCATGTGTGTATGTGCGTGTGTGTGCTTTTGTGTATATCTGCACATGTGTGTTCGTGTATATGTGTGTATGTGCATGTGTATATGTGTGTGTGTGTGTGTGTGTGTGTGTGTGTACCTACCCTAGTATGCGTGTGTACAGACCAGAGGTCAATGTCGGGTGCTTCTCACTATTGCTCTGAACTTAGTTTTTGAAGACAGGGTCTCTCACAGAACCCAGAGCTTACCATTTTGGCAAGCCTGGCTAGGTAGGGTTCTGGGGATTCACTGTCTCTGGGCCCCTCCTCTGGAGTTATAGACATATCCATCACACCTCGCTGTTACACAGACTCTGGGGGTCTGAACTAATGTCCTCATGCTTGCACAGCAACCTCCTTCCCACTGAGCCATCTCCTCAGCTATCCTAAAAGGTTTCTCCTATAATAACCCAATCATTGTCCATTATGGTTCCTGAAGGAAGTCTGTAAGCTTGTGGGGCCTCTAAAATGGCAGAAGTTCATCCATTCAAAACCCACAGTGAGCAAGGAGAGCCCACCACTTCATCAGCTATCAGTTCCTCAGTGGAGTCCTGACCTAAGTCTCCACAGGAATCATCAGCCATGCTGTCCTGGTGACAGGACCCACCAACAGTGAGTCTTCCTGGAGCCACACTATGAACTCAGCTGCTCTGCCATTTCACTGAGGACAAAGAGCTCCCAGCAAACCCTGTCCTTCCGTAAATCACAACTCGGTGGAAATGTTCAGTGACAGAAACTCAGAGCCCACATCCTTCCCTCTGTTGCCTCCTCCCATGCTGAGGCAGCCTTACTTACCCACAGGTCCTGTAACTGAAGACAATGAAGCTTTCCTCATCTGTCCTCTCTACGAAGGTCACACAGGTGTGCTTCTCCCAGTGCCTCATGGCCTGTTTGAAAATGGCCCTCTGGGTGCCTGAAACGACAGAGCAATGCTGGTCACTTTGCTCCTGGGCACACCTTCTTCAGACATGAAGGCACAGACTTAAGACAAAGACTGCTCTGATTTTTAAAAATCTTGTTGATAATGCTGTGGGTTTTGTACCTGATGGTTGAGAGAGGTTTGAAGTGTCATCATCATCTAAACACACACACACACACACACACACACACACACATGAGACGGTGAATGTGATGAATGTGTTCATTAATTGGGTTGTGGGGATCATTAAACAATGTATCATTATACATTATAAATATATCAGGTCACCACTTGTATATATATAAGTTTGTCAAATGTTTTAAATTGTCTTAAAAACCCTTTTTAAGTAACACAGAAAAGAAATCCATTGGGAATCACAAATTCCCTTTGCTGAGGATGCTGGTGCCAGTCGGCAATCTAAGCACTAAGGAATCAGAGGCAAGAGCTGAATTGCCATAAGTTCAAGGCACACCTCATCTACATAGTGAGTTTCATTCAGCCAGGGTGAAAAAAAAATCTTGTCAAGGGGCATGTTGTGGCTGGAGAGATGGCTCCAGGCTCTGCGTATCCACTCTCAGGCCTGCTGATCTGCTGCTAACTAGTTCATTCACAGTTCTCAGTTGCTGCGGCAAGTCATTGAGCCATATTCCTCATTCGCCTACTTCTCACAGAAGTCACAGCATCCCAGGGATGTAAAAAGCTAATGAAGATACTGAGAGGCTGGGATGCTCACTCAATGGGGCTTTTTGTTCAGGCATCCAGCCAGTGATGTGCTGTAGGCCTACTGTGGGCAGATATGGTGAGCTCCTCCTCTGTACCAGGCACTGTCCTAGGTGCTGGACATGTAGGAATGAAAAGAGGGGTTGTTCCTGCTCCCATAGAGCCTGGGCAAAGATAAGTAGACACAAATACAAGGAAAAAAACTTTGGGTCATGATGAATGCTGTTAAATTTACAGAGTGAGCTGTGCAGCTGGTGGGGGTGGTGAGGATGCAGGAGGATTGATCTTGGATATATCGTTTGATCAGAAGCCAGCCAGGTAAAGCTCTGGGGTAGTGTCCCAGGAGACAGGACAGTGCACATGTGCTAGGGACCTGGGCATGGGTAACACCTAGAACAGGAAGGTGGCTGGTGAAGCTGATTAAAGAGAAAAAAGGAAGGAAAAGGAGACAAGGCTCTGCAGGGAAGGCTCAAGGTCGGGGACAGAAGCCCCAACTTCAGTCTAGGTGATTTACATAGTGCAAAGATAATACCACAAGACATTAGGCACAGTTCTTAAGTTCTTATCTGTGTTAACTCATTTCATTCTATCACCAACTTTCTTTCTTTCTTCCTTCCTTCCTTCCTTCCTTCCTTCCTTTCTTTCTTTCTTTCTTTTTGTTTTTGTTTGTTTTGGTTTGTTTGGTTTGGTTTTTCAAGACAGGGTTTCTCTATATAGCCCTGCCTGTCATGGACTCATTTTGTAGACCAGGCTAGCCTTGAACTCATGAAGATCCACCTGCCTCTGCCTCCATAGCACTGGGATTAAAGGTGTGCACCACCATGCCCGGCTACCAGATCTCTTTAAAGAACAGGGAACTACATAAATGTTAAATGATTTGTCAGAGGTGGAGCCAGGATGCAGATCAGGGAGTGATACCACATTGTATGATACCTGTGTGCATCTCTGGTTACCATGTGGGGCACTGATCCCAAGCAGAGGGACAGAGGCCGGAAGCCACCATGGACAGCTCCATGCTTGCCTTCTTCCTGCTCAATGTTTAAGCCTTTTAAGACTGACCTGATGAGACTCCCTGCTCTCCACCAAGCCTTCAGGAAACGGTGACCTCTGCAGCAGTCATAGCCCCAACAGAGGCCTGATGTCAGGCTCCACCGGCCCAAGGGAACCTTAGCTGGAGGAACTACTGTGGTCCTGGTACCCGCTCATTCCCACGGAGTCCTGTCTCAAGCCTGAGAGCCCAAACATGGGCTCCAAAGGGGTCACATCTAGGGCTACTGACCAGTAAAGTTCCCTCCGATGACATAAGGAATGACCCCTCCAGGCCAGATCCGCTCTGCCCTTGATGTTGTAGCTCTTCTGACCCGAGCAGAGAAGGTCTTCGCTGTGGTGGTGTTTGAGGTCCCAGGGCCAGGCAGAAATGGGGTGCCATCCTTGCCATCTGCAAGACAGTCAATGGGTCAATTATCCTGCCACAAAGTCTTCTGCAAGTTATGCTTAAGCTTAGGATTGTATTGATGGTAGGTGGTGAACACAGGGGTGGGTAAATCTGTGTTCTAAGGGAACACTTTACCCACAAAGGTTTTTGAGAACCTGGTAGGTAATGTTCAATAGCTGGGTTTAAGTGAACTGTCTAAGATCAAGTGGCTCCAGGGAACCAATGCCTTCTTCTGCCCTCCATGGGAACTACACCCACATGCACCCACCCACCTGCTCCACCCCACCCATGTACCCCACCCCACCTCCACACATATACATATAATTAAATATTTAATATTTTAAAAAAAGATTCTAAGTCCAGAAAGGACCGTGAAATATGCGGATAGACAGAAGGGAATGTTCAAACTGGGATTCCCTGACGGAATCCATACCATGCTGGACCTCCATAGGGCCTCCCGTGTGCTTGCTTACAACTCCTCCTTACTCTTCCCTGGAGAGCCTCCTCTCCAGTTTTTACATCCTCCTCCCTCTGAAAAAAAAAATCCAGCTACTGAAAATTCACTTTTGGGGGCTGGAGAGATAGCTCAGTGGTTAAGAGCACTGACTATTCTTCCAGAGGTCCCGAGTTCAAGTCCCAGCAACCACATGGTAGCTCACAACCATCTGTAATGGGGATCCTATGCCCTCTTCTGATGTGTCTGAAGACAGTGACAGTGTACCCACATATATGAAATAAATAATTTCTAAAAAAAAAAAAGAAAATTCACTTTTTAAATTTTCTTTAGTTATTCCCTTCTCTCTTCATTTTTATGTTTCTTTTCTTGTTTTTCTTTCCTTAAAAATGAGATCTAATTCATAACCATAACATTCACTTTCATTTTTAGCGTACAATTCTGAGGGTGTTAGTCTATGTATCAGGTGTGCAGCCATCACCACTCTCTAATTGTATGAGCTTGTCAACACTGCAGAAGGAAACCCTGTCCCCATTAACAGTCACTTCCGGTTTCTCTCTCTGCCTTGCCAGCCCAAATCTGCTAGGTTTCTGTGGCTCTGCCTGTTCTCCATATGAGCAACCTCTGCCTTCTGCCTTCTGCCCCTTTTACTTGGCTAGTTTTCAAGGTTCATCCACATTTATAGTATGAATCTTCTTTTCATCCTATTTTGTGGTTCAGAAGTATTCTGCTGTAGGGGTAGGCTACATTTAGCTTACCTGTTCCTTGGTTAAACACCGGAATCATCCCAACTTTGGGGTTGTTATAAATTATACTGCTACGAACGCTCATGTACACATGTGCTTCAGCGGGCCTAGGATTTCCCCTCTGCCAAGCATGTGCTGGGTGTGGAATGCCAGATCGCATGGTGCTGTTTAACCCTTTCAGGAACTACAAGGCTGTTTCCCAGAGCAACCACACTGTGTCGTGTCCTCACCAGCAAAGAAAGCGAATTATACACATAACCAAGTAAGACTAAATTTAGTCTTACTAAATTTACAAGGCTTGTTTAACATTTGACTATATATGTATATTAGTATATCAGCAAGATAAAATAGAGAAATATTTCATATTAGTAAATTTTCTCCTATTATGTTTATTTGTTTATTCTGAGGGTGTACACAGGTGTATTGTGGGGATGTGTGCCACGCATGTGGGTGAGGGTCGGAGGTCAGCTCGCTGGAGTTGGTTTCTTCCCACCACCTTGGTGCCAAGAATGAAACTCAAATTTTCAGATCAAGAGGCAGGTACTGTCTCTCTGACCCCTATACATATTTTTTAGTTTAATTTTTATTTATGTATATGAAGGCGAAAGACTGTATGCCAGATGTACTTGTGAGTACCAACAGAGAGGACATTAGAACCCCTGACGCACATTTACAAGGAATTATGAGCCACCTTACATGGGTGTTAGGAACTGGAGGGTCCTCTGGGCAAGCAGGAAGCACTCTTGACTACTGAGACATCTCTCCAGCCCAGAGCCATTCTGGTTCATTGATGAGTGTGGCACGTAAGTTTTAAGTGGGCCTTGGGTACATCTCCTCACAATACCAAGTGTCTATCTCTTTTTTATGTCATTAATCCACCTGTGAGGATCTCCTACTCTCACTTGGGTTTTCCTTTTTGTCTTTCTTTCCGTCTCTTTCTTGCTTTTAATTGGATTAAAAGCAGATTATTTCCCTTAACACACTCTGTCTCCTGTTCATTAACACTGGTTTTCAGTTTCGATAGTCATACAGAACTGAATGACGAATAATTAGTGGACTGGAAGATCAGTCTGAAGAAACCAGAATCCCAAGTTTCATTCTGAGAAATGAGACTCTAAAAACAACTCCAGTGTAGGGCGTGTGGGCCGTGCCACCAGAGGAACAAGCATGGGACTGGTGAGGTGGAACATGCTCAAACCCTGGAAATCTCAGAATCTGAGACCTGTAAGAATAGAGCTAACTCCCTGTTTCCATGCCTGACTCCGGGCATACAATCAAGAGACTCCCCAGCCAGGTGGTCACAGGCAATCAGCACCCAGAACACCGCTCCATGCTAATGAGGCTCCTTAGCCAGTGACTCTCCCTTCCTGGATATTCTCACACCCTTCCTAAACATTATAGAATCTTTGGTTTACCCTGAGTAAAGCGTATGCATTCAAACCCACCCCCAGTAAAGAAATACAAACAAGCTAAGATCCTCTCAGAGAGCAGCTTCATTAGAGATAGTAGGGGAAGGCTTTTGCCTAAAAGAATTGTAGCACTAACTGGCAGGCAGTAGCACTCTGATGTTCCAATGGGACCCACAGACCGGGAACCCCCACTCAGGACTTCACTTTGTCTTCCTCAGCCAGTGTATTTTTGTTGCCCAGACAGACAGACAGAACCCAGAATGACACTCCAGACTCCATGTTTTCATGTTGCTGTCTACATGCTTTGACGTTTCCAGTTAGTTTCTATCAGCAGCACTTTGTGCTTGTGAGACAGATGCCGTCCGATTCACCCATTTCCTGTTCATGGGCACCTACACCTTCTCCTGCCTGGAATCACATTCCTTAATGACTTTATTTGTTCTTTTGTGAGGATAATGCAATTTCTCAGTCTGTGTCTGTAAATTCTCTCTGACATTCTAGAATTCCTATTGATTACCCATTAGACATGACCATTCAAACCTCCATCTCCCTATACCTTATTTTGTGTGTGTCTTCATAGTTTGTGTCTTTCTTTGAGTGCATAGAGATCTTTTATATACTGTAGGGAAGCATCACCGATCAATAAAAAAAAGCTGTTAGCCTATTAGCTTAGTAAGGAAACAGAAGGTGGGAGTTCCAACAGCGGAAGAGGATTCTGGAATAGAGTCAGGGAAGAGATTCACCCCAAACACTGATGCAGAGAATTGCATGAACCTGAGGAGAGGTAACTGACCACATGGCAGGACTTAGAACATAAACAGGTTAAGTAAGTTATGAGCTAGTCAGGGAACAAGCCCAAGCCTAGGCAATTATTCATACATAATAAGTCTCAGAGTCGTTATTTTGTAAACCTGAGAGCAGATGGGGAAGCCCTAGTTACATCTGAGTGCTTAAACTTGCATGGTTTCCTGGAATCTGCTTTCTACTTCACTCATTCTCTCTTCGGCTGTGTTCACCACACCATTTATCTGACATCTGCTTCAGTGACGTAGCTACCATCTACTCAAGACCTAGTCAGAAGATCCTCAAATGTATCTTCTTTTTAACAATATTCTCTTCCTCCCTGTTTTAAATTCTCCCTTTGGCTTGTTCCTTATTTTAGTCATGCTTATTAAAATTCCTTCTGATTGCCATATTCTCTAATTTGTTGTCTTCTGACTTTTCCTTCATTGATTAACTTCCTGTGTTTCTGGTGTTTTAGGACTCTTTCTAGCCTAACCATTTTTTTTTTAATTTAAAATTTTCTGGGAATTTAATACGTGAGTACTAGATTTACACGGTTTCTGCTCCTTCCTTCTTCCTTCCAAGCCCACATATCTCGGACTCCCTCCCACATCATGAATGCTTTTCCTAGAACTACTGTTGTCTTACACATACACATTAAAAACCTGACTGAATCCATTCAGTGTCAGCCATATGCAAACAGGTTTGGGGACTTCTAGGATCACTGTATTGGTGTGGACCCTGGCTGTGGATTTGCTTTGTACTTTTTTTCAGGACTCGAGACTCTCTGGGTCTCAGGTGAGCTTTTCATATCAATTTCTGAATTGTGGGCTTCCTGAAGATTCACACCTGCATGAGGAACAGACGTTGTGACTGAGACTCTTGCAGAAGATATTCCTGCTCCCATCCGTGCCTGGGATGGACAGTAAGGTTGCATTCTACTCTCTGAGCCCTTTGAGGACTTCTGTTTTATGTGGGAGTTTATCTACCACTTCCTGCCCCACATGGTGTGAAGGGCACATCTCCCTTGCTTATGTTGGCATTCCATTGGTGTTAGCACAGCAGCTCTGACCCCTAAGTCCTAGTCCAGTTTCATTGTGCCTGGATAGTCTCTTTACCATCTGAAGGCTGGGGAAAACCCTGGTCTCTTCTCATTGGCCCTCTCACCTGTCTTCCCTCTGAGCTTCATCCGTGGTGTACAGAGTGCTGCATGCACAGGTTTGCATATGGCTTCCTAGAAGCTCCCTGGCCCTGTTTCTACACCTATGAAGTTGCTATAGAATACATTTTAAGGCTGAAACTCTTTTACTGCTCGAATTTCTAGAACAGAAGTCATACACTTGCAGTCTTGGGATCAGCCCAACCCACAGATGTGTTTTATTTGGCCTGGACACTTTTGGCACATACTGTTTTTTTTTTTTTTTTAATCTCACTTTGGAAGCCAACTCTTGAAAAATCCAGAGATTTCACATAACAATTTTTATTTTTTAAGACAAGGCCTTTCTCTAAACCCAGTCTTTCCTTGAGCTTATGGCAATCCTCCTGCCTCTGCCTCCTGAGTGGTGGGATTATAGGCAGGTGTCACTGTATCTGGGCTCTAGTTTGTTTTAA